CACATCACGATCCCTTATTTTTTAGCTTGCTCCATTTGTGTGAAACGGATGCTTCTTAGCTGGCAATCGTTTTGCAGCCGGCTTGCTGACTGGGCGGGAGCCCAGACTTGTTTCAATCACCTTCACTTTGTTGTGCTTCCTTTTTTGGGGGTACCTTGTACCCTAAACAGGTTGTGTAGAAGGGAACACAAGAGGAACTCCAGGCCTTTTGCAGGTTCCTCACGCCCAGCCTTCTCACTCACTGGCGTTCCCCAAACCGCGATGCCTGTGCCAAGGACCCAAGTCTTGATGGAGGCCGAGTCGGCAAATCGGGATGCAGGGTATCCTTGGGCTCAAGCGGTGTGTGTTGAAGACGGGTTTTTGCAGCGGCGCAGCTGGATTTCTGCAGGACATGCCTAGTCCGTAGTTCCCTTCCGCCTTCTTGCGTCAAGCAAGTGCTATCACGCTTTTGCTTCAAAGCACAAAGTTGGGAGTGGCCGTTGAATCAACCACAGCCTGGACCTCAAAGGAGGACATGTGTTGATTGTCAAGATGTTGATTTGGCCAACGCTAGCTTACTTTGGACAAAGGGACCTTGCTTGAATTTCTTTCTGCGTGGACTGACGCAAAAAGTCGGATGTCTACTGTCAGAGTGGATCTTACAGCTCCACGTAGCCCCTCATTGTTGTGTCACAACCTGGCAGTTCCTCGATAACTTGGCCCCTGGCCAGTGAATTTGTGGTATCAAGTCTGGAGCCACTATGATCAACAGCCCGAGTGGATCCCCCAACATGCTCAGAAGCCCTGGTGCACTAGGTCCTCCAGTAGAGGGGTTAGAATAAGGGTACCCTTTTCTGTCCATGTTCGTAGGGGAACCCTCCCCCAAAAAAGGGTTAAACGGCACTACTTGGGGACCTAGTAACTGACTCCTTGGGGAAACTTGTGAGTCCTTCACGGCCAAGTTCCCTTCAGCGGCTCTCGCTGCCAGGCACCTGGCCTATCAGCATCCCAAGACATCGGCCGGGCCCTCAGTTCCAGACGAAAGTCCAAAAGGGAGCGGGGTGCTGAAGCACCAGCCACGCAAACGCAGCAGTCAGATGGTTTCACCCCTGGAAACCCGCAACTGCCGGATGGAAACTGGTCCAGCTGTTCTTGCCGCCAGAGGAATGGAGGTATTTGCCCTTGGCTGATTTTGATGGCCCGTTCGGGGCTGAAAAACGGTGAAATTGGCGCAAATCGCAGCTCTGCTTGCAAACGCATCTTGAGGACAGGCTTTGGTTTGATTTTTGGACATCAGCATCTCAGAAGTCAGGTCGAAGAGACCCTTTCTTGCAGCTAGCCCTGCGGACACGTGCATCCATGCTTTCAACACGAGGACATTTGGAGGTGTAGCTTGCTCTTGGAATGCCAGAATGAGCAGAAGCAATCGCAAGCTGTTTGCCCTCCTTCCATGCGTTGCGTATGCATTACCTTAAGCATTTTGTCTTGTTTTCTACAGGTCATACAGCAGGCGACCCGACACGTGGCTATGACATGTTCATGAGCAGTGCAGCAATCCGGGTGGCCCATCGCTCCAAGGATTAAAATCAAGCGACAAAAAACGCCTCGGCCTCAGTCTGAATCCGAAGCCGCAGGGCGAAGTGTACCACACGCACACAGGGATGGGACAATGTGACAACAGACCATGTCTTGCAGACCAGGCATAGCTCGTTGATTCAAGGATATTCAAGGGCGTGGGACTACGCATTGCTAGGCTTTAGCAGCTTGGCGAGTTGACCCTGCAATCTTTGACGCTTCACGGCCTTGCTGCAGACACTCGTTTCGGAATATGATTGGGCAAATGCCAGCTTTGCTGTTGCTGCAGGCTTCCTGGACCAGCAAAGGATCACCTTGGCTGGCATGAGACTGACAGTTCTACTCCCAAACGCAACATATATATATATATACATATATATATATATATATATACATATATATATATACATGTATTGTTGTGGCAACGGTCTAGGATATCTTTGTCGCCTGCAGCTTTCAGAGGCCGCTGGCGCATCGTTCCTGCTTGGAATTGTTTTCTTTGCCGCCATTGCGCTTTGGATTGGCACTCAACAAATTCGTGATTGTTTTGCGCAACCACTGGCCCAGAGCCTTCCAGCACCTGGTGTGCTTGACTGTCTCTTTCTGTAATTTATTGGATTTGATGGCACGCCTTTTGCTGCTGAGAGTTCAAAAAATACATCATTGCATGAGACCATATGATGCCGCACATGAGAGCCATTGATGCCACTACAAGTTGTTTGTTTCGACTACTGCATCGTGTCGTTGGGTTGAAACTGATCCAGTGCTGGCATCCTTGAAGTGCACGGACCGATCGCAAAACCGATCCGAGCTCAGGTAAAAATGATGTCTTACATCTCCCTGATATGTTCTGACCGCAGGCCACCGCCCGTCTGGTTTTGTGGGGGCAGAGCAGAGACTTGTCAGCTGACCTGTGGAACTCCGATGGCAGTTGGGGTTTTCCTTGGTGAATTCGTTGGAGAAGCTTCTCCCAACTCTCGACTTCAGGTAGTGCACCTTCGGAACGCCGCATTTTTGTTTGCCGTTTGGTGGGCTCCTACCTTGCTTTCATCCTTTATGTTTGGTAATGCCGGAACTCGCAGCGATTTTGGGCACGTTTCGCTGGCCGGAAGCCTGAGTGTAGACTTTGCTACCGTGCCACTTGAAGTTCCACTCTCAAAGCGCAAGTGTGAGGTCCCGTTCAGCCGCGTGTCACCAAAAAAGTGTTGGCACCATTTCCCCTTGCTTCGGCACGACACTTCAGAAGGCCAGGAGAGCCTTCATGGGTTCTCGTAGCACAACGTAGACTGATGCCGCGAATGCTTGCTTGCAGGATCTTCCTGAGTCGATGCTACCAGTGCTAGGATCCCAACTGAATGTACGCGTGCCTACCATAAATATGATTCCCGCTATGAATGCCAATCATGGAAACTACCGCCTAGGCTATGGATCATATGTGTCCTTTTGATTGGTTAGTTTGGTTAGAAACAGATCGCACTGGTTTAGATTGTTTTTTTTCTCAGGTACCGGAGACACCCTTCTGTTTTGCCAAAATGTCGCCTATGCCATGGATACTTTCGTTTTGGGAAACCTCTCTCCCCTCTCGACAAGTTTGGTATTGCTTTGGGTCGCCTTCGTTCGCGCCAGGTCTTGGCAGACTTTTGGACAGACCAGGGACAGGCTCTCGAATCGAATCGAATTAGGGTTCCCTTTCTGCAGCTCGAAGTCTCGCAAGCTTTGCGATGACCCCATCGCATGGTTCCTGTCCAAGATGTTTCACGTGTTTTTTGAATTTGTTCAAGACGTGGCGTGTTATAGTGGCAGTTCCCGACTTTGATCATGCCAGGCTTGTTTCAAGTAGTCTTCCAGCGTGGACAAGGGGCTGCATGCCGCTGCAAGCATTCCTGTGTGTCCCCTTGTCACACCATTCCTTACTGGTTCCTCAAAGTTTGAGAATCATGTACAGTGGTGCAAGCATGGGCACTGGCAGTGTGCATAAGCGCAAGGCATGACGCTTCCAGGACTCTAGTTGTTTCAATCAGAACCGGATTGTCCAATTTGCCAAAGCAAATCTTAGAGAGAGAGAGAGAGAAACTGCCAACACTGTGACCCCGCGGCAACCCTGAACTAGTGGACAGGATACCTTGTTCCTCAAGCTTTGTTTGTTTTACTCCGCAACGCTGCGTTCGCTTATTTTCGATTCAGGCTTGCAGCCAAGATGTTGTTCCTCTCCCATTGTTTTGCGCCTCCCAACAACCCTTCCCCAAAAGCTGTCCTTTCTGAAAGATAGCAATTTCCCAGCTTCAGTATCTGAGAGCAATACCCAACTCTGCGGAGGGAGTTTCGAGTTCCCAAGGAATTCGGATTGGCCGAGCCATCTCAACCAGGTAGGCCAGGGCGTCACGACTGCCAGGCTCTCAGCATGGCGTGAGTCGAATCCCATCCCCTTTGGCCCATCAAAAGATGGGACAACGTCAGGCTAAGTGGGGCGGTCCAAAGTGTCAGCTTTGACACATGCCCAAGTGGCAGCAGCTGACCGCAGGGGGGAGAAACTGAAGGGGGCCATGCGATGCTTCAGGGAATGAGCGCAAGAGCCAGTTTTGTCCAGCAAAGTTGTTGAATGTGGTGTACCTGATTCTTTTTTGACGAGCAACATATAGGCATGGGATGGACTGGGTGTGAACAGTGACCATACCGCTGTTTTGGTTTTAAAGAAACACCAGTTGAAGATGCCAGCAACACATTATACATGGGCCACTTGACGGTTGAAAAGCACCTACGCACATAGGTGTGTATGTGTATAGATGCACGGCGTTCTGTTTTTTTGTTGGCCAAGAGTTGTCAATGTTTCAGGCAACTGACAACTTTCCCCTCGTGCGCTCAGCATTTTGGGATCACCTTGCGCGTGGCCTCAGCTTATCACACTCAGGATCCGGTTGTTCTTCGCCATGTGCGGGGGCTTGACCGGTTTCAGAGTCAGGGTTCGATGGCATGCCATCACTTTGATTTGAGCAGGGAAGATCGGCGGCCACCTGTGACCTGTTTTCGTATTGAGGGTCTTCTGGTGCCAGCACATGAGACCCTCGGACAGATGGTGTGACAGGGCCTTGAGAGTGGCCATGGCAGCAACTCTTGAAGCCGCTCTTTATTGTAGAGAAGGGATCCAGTATGTGGGTGTGTTTGTGTGTCTCTTTACCCTTTTGTGGGTGGCTTTAAAGGGAAACCAATGCAAAAAGCGCACCATTTTGGGGTCCCCTGAAAAAAACACACACACACTCATGTCATGTTGCACTGGCATCCTGGCGGTTGCAAACCTCGGCTCGAGCTTACATGAGAGATGAAATTGTTTTATCAACCAACACCATTCCGCCGTTCCCCTTGATATCCCTTGACAGATGAAGGCACCTGCTCTATCCCACCAAACTGCATTAGCTGTCCAACCTGCCAATAGAAATGCCAATCACACAGCAAGACGCCAGCAGCGCCAAAGCATTCGCGACTGCCATGGCCTGAGCCGTGACAGCGGCCCACTCAGAATGGGCCTTGAAGCGCATAGACTGGCAAGATACCGCGACCCAAGTTCATTCAGCCCACGATATCAAAGCATTGCTCAGGGCGCCCTCAGGTTCAGAGTCTGCGAACAGGTTCCTTTGTCGATGGAAGCGAAGGCTGACGTGGCCCATGGATCAAAGCATTCCTCATCCGGGCGGTTTCCAAGATTGAGCAATAGAACACTGGGGTGCTTGCGCACTCATTGCCCATCTCAAAAGTTTTTTGTGGGACTGGCAGTGAGGCACGACTTGAGTTTATGGCTTGGTGCTCTGATTGTACACGTGCAGGCGCGGGGATTGGGTGGGTGGGAAAGGGTTGTTTCCTGGGCTTTCTGATGACCAATGTATACTGCCACCTTTCAGTGGTTTGCTTCATTTGTTGCGGAAGGGTACACTTTTTGCAGTTGACGCTCATGAAGACCGTGCAGAAAGGGCAGAGGCAAACGAGAATCGAGAGCAGCGCTGCAGTTTTGACATGGGGGCATGACAACGAGAGTCGGTTGCTCGCTGCATACGACGGACCACACCTGGCGAACAAGGTCAAGCTCCAAAATTGAGCATGTCACCTGGACCTGATTGTCGAATGCAAGCGTTTGCATTATCATTTGGGGACCATGCCCACCCCCGGCAATTTGAACTGGGGAGGAGGGTGAACGACTACATAAATGGAACTGGAGGACCCTCCACCCTTCTTCCTCGTAAGGTGCGGGCCACAACGCACTATGATTGTTTTGGTGAAGAAAAAAATGGGACAAGACGTGGATGGAACTTCTTTCTCACGAATCCCCAGCGCAAGTATTTACTTTGGTCATGACAAGTTTCCTTAGGACCGGATCTTGGGACGTCTGTGGCACGCAAACATCCACTTCCAAGTCTTCCAGGCACCCCTTTTGCCCTGGCACAAACCCCGATTTGTTTTGCAATGCTTTGGAGCTTAAACAGAAGAAAGGAGTCGGTGCAAGGTCCATGTTCGCACCTCCATGTCTCCGTGCGCTTGTACATGACGTGAAGAAAAAGGCACTCCAGGGCAACGGTTCTGCGGATTGCCGGTGCGTTGAAGCGACCCCTTGTTCGGCCAGACGCGCTCTCCACATCGGAGGTCTTCGGCCGAGGGCCCCAGATACACCGGCCATGGCGGTTGAAAAGCCTTTCAGGGGACCATGGTCCTGTTTCTGGGGCCTTAAGGGTGGATCCCAGTTTTGTTGCAAAGGGAGGCACGGCCATGGCCGAGCAAGTTGGGTGTCAAGGGCGCCCTCCCACCAAACCGAAGGAGGAAGGAAAGTAGATCCTGAAAACCAAGGCTTCCTCGATTCCCCTGTCTCAGTACTGTCCTCTTGGTCCTCTTCCGTCCCCTTTTGTACTGTATGTTGGTACTAAGTATTGCTTAGTAGGTACTGGGTAGTCCTGTCCTGGTTTAGTGTTGGTTTAGTACCTGGCTTTGTATCGACCGTGTGCAACCCTGTTGGACATGTGGTGGGGGGGCTGTCCTTTGCAAAAGAACTCATTAATAATTTGGCTATTTGGAGCCTCAGACAATCTCAGTGATTTTCTGGCTTAGAGTTGGTAGTGTATTGCTTGAGCATTCGAGCAGCTTTGTTGCCTGACCGATTGTCAAAAGCAAACTCTTATGGGTCCATTCATGCGCATCACTACTTTTGAGCTCGACAGAGGCTCATTTGTTCATGCTGTACTGCACTAGTGTATGTCAACAGTAAATCCGTCATTCCGACTTCATTTCATGCTTGAATATCAGCCATCTGAAAAATCCACAAACACTGCCCGTTATTGTTGGGAGTTCTTTGGCAAAGCTGCTTGGGGACATGTTCCATGCGTGCACACCCGAACGGCTTGGGTCCCAATACGGGTTATTTGAATGTTTGTGAGTTGGACACGTCAATTCCGGTTTTAGTTCAAGCAACATGGTGAGAGTGAGTTGTCCATTGGGCCAAACTTGCCGCTCGGAAATCGGTTCTGCTCCACTTTGGGCTAGGGTATTGAAGTACGGTCTACTGCATCGCCCAGGGGAAGTTCTAGTCCCAGATTCAATTCACACCATGGTTTTCTGCTAGCTGCCTGAGTGATTCGGGTGGCGGGGCAGGACCCAGTCCTGTTTGTTCTCATTTGGGTGTGTGTCAAAAACTGGTACCGGAAATGGCTGGAACCCTGGCAAATGGAAACAAGGACGAGTCAACCTGCGGACCAATTCCGGGTGGTTTAATTCCCATACCCATTTCTGCGTAGACTTGGACGATGCTCGAGACCCCGCTGCTGCTTTTGCTTGCCGCTTGAGGTGATGGAACCCCAGTGGCTGCTTGGCTGCACGGCAATGCGCCTAAGCTCCGAGGCTGGTTGCTAGACATAAGGAGGATGATAGCAGCTTCCAATAACATGGAGGCTCTGAACCCTAAACCCGCCCTGCACACCTGAAGACCACCCAAATCGCACCCTAAAACACAGAAACTCGCGCTAGAGAAACACACAATATAAGCAACCCCAGCATCCACCACAAGCCCACCCCAACCCACCCGCAAAACCCGTGCGTCAATCATTCTTACCCGATCTAAACCTACCCTGTCCGCGAAATTTCCCCTCCAATCTAGACGCATGGACGTCCACCGGAAAACCAACCGCAAACCCAACACCCATTTCAGACCCTCAAACCAACCCTTGACCCACCAAAACAAACTTCCTGGTCTCTCGAGGAGGCCGGACTGCCAGAAGACATACAGCAAAAGAAGCATTGTTGCTCTCCATGAGGAAAAGCACACACAGAGCAAACGCAACAAATAACAGCAACAGCCCGAAGTGCTGCCACACTTTTACCGCATTGGCCAGGCAAGAAGCATGAACAGAAAGACCCAAACACTGGGCCGTTCACTCAAGGATGCAAGTGAGTACCCCGAATCTTTGTGAGGTTTTCGTGGGTGAAGAAGCCTTTTTTAAATCTGCAAAGAGCATGCAGGGGATGGTAGCTTACTTGTACTGGGTGCAACATGAATCCCGAATTGTTGCTGAGGAAACCATGAGGGGATGTGTTCACGTGTATTTGGTTACTTTCCGCACCACAATTTACTGTCCTGGGTGTGGGGCTCTTTGCACTGGCTGAGACTTAATGTCCGCGGATTCATCCGATGGCAAGCTGAGTTTGTGGGCAAACACAGCAACTTGATGCACGATTGTTGTATGTTCAAACCAGCATGAATGATGAGCAGCGAGAACAAGCCTGCGAAGCCTGATTGCCGAGGCGTCCAAGAATTTGCCAATAGCCAGCTTGCCGGTGGATCGGAAGGACCCTGTGCCAGCACTTCTGTTAGAATACCGCGCTTCAGGGCTTTGGACGCAGCTGCGAAAGTCTATGCCATTGAATTATCTGGCAGTATGAACGCCTTTCGCCAAGCATACAGAGTTGGGGGGAACTTGGAATAGTGAGCTTCGCTGAACAGTATTGCATGCTCAGCTCAGGACAATATTTGATGTCTTACTCCTCATGCCAAAGAATCTAAACCGTTGTGTGGCAGGTTGGTGCAGTTTCCTCACAAAGCCTTGGTTGTTAAATGCGTTCATATGCCTGTTTGGTTTCGCGCTGCTCGGGATGATGATCACCTTCCCCATGATCCCTTTGCCAAACATTGACGATAAGCGGGCTTTCACGTTGGGAATTGCACATATGCCATCCATCCTTTCATCCGTCCGTCCGTCCGTCCGTCCGTCCATCCATCCATCCATCCATTCATCTATCCATGTATTATACACATGCGCATATGCGTAAATGCGTACATGCTTACACCCGTAGTCCCTTCCCCCTAATGCTAAACACCCCCCCCTAACACTAAGTGGGTCCCCCAGGAAAAACCGGTTTTAGCATTCGGGGGTCCCTGGTTCGTTTTCGGAAAACCCTGGGAGATAAATAGTTAAGTCTTTAATTCTTTGTGTGGAGAGAGAAGGAGAGAGAGGGAAGGAGACAGCCAGGTTTGCAGAAGCACGTCGCGAAAGTGTTTGCGCAGCCAGCAAGCCAGCAAGCCTTCTGTAAGACCGCCACCGAAAGCCAGACAGCGCAAGATAGCCACTAGGCAGCAAGTTGTAGACTGCATGTCATTTTTGGAAAGTCAGCATGCAGGCAGCGAGGCAGGCAAGGGGCGCTTGAGCGCAGCTTCATCTGATCCGGACAACTCAGCCAGCAGACAACTTGGCACAGTTTTTGGAAGAGAGAGCTAGCCAGCCAGCTAGCCAGAAGTGGTGTGTGAGAAAGGCTCAGAGTAGAAAGCCCAGGCAGCTCTAGCCAGCAGCAGGTAGGGCTAGCAGTCCAGCCCTTGTCTACTTGACTACCTGTTGGGCAAGAGCTCCCAGGTAGTGAAGCCAGAAAAGAAGTCGCTCTGCAGCTTTGGCGGAGGCAGAAAGGTTAGCGAAGGACTGCGGGCCGCCAGCAAGCCGCCACAGGCCGAAGAAAGAGAAAGGCAAGACGCAAACAGTGTTTGGAAGCGGGGACGCATGGGGCGGTGTAGAGGAGGATTGCATTCGTGTTTGGCGTTGGGCGCTTGAGCTTATTTTCTTATTTTGCTGCTGCTCTTTGTTCCCCCCGGTCTCCGACTTTCCCAGACAGTTTTCTGCAGAGACGCTTGATGGACTCCTGAAGATTGCGCACTCTGGCAAAGAGGAAGTTGTCTGATGAGAGGATGAGGGCGCTGCTGAGATGCTCGCAAATGTAGAGCGAGCCAAACGAGAAGAGGCTGTGGACAAAGACACGGAAGCAGGGACTTGCGCTGCTTCAAAGCGCAAGCTGCAAAAATGGCTCGCATGAGTGAACAGGCGTGGCTGCCCACACTCTAGATTTGGCTGCAGCGAGGTTCTTTTTTGTTTCTTTTTTCTCTCGCTGTCAGACATGAACAGAAGAAGGGGTGTTCTTGGTTCTTGCTTGCTACACAGCTTTGCACAGGTGTTCATCTAACAAAGCGCCCGCGGAAAGCTGGCAACCCCGTGGATTTGCCTCCAGGACCCAGGGCTGGCGCAAGGTCTTGCTCCGGTGTAACGGCTGGCAGTTTATTGTGTGTCTTTTTAATTTCGCATGTGTGAATCATACCCCCGAGGCATGCCACGAATCATATGTCCGAACCATACCCCAAATCATATCCCCCTCGCCCACCAGGTACCACTGCTACGACTACTTCTGCTACTACTACTACTACTACTACTACTACTACTACTACTACTACTAGTACTGCTACTACCGCTACTTCGACTACTAGTAGTACTGTTGCTGCTACTACCACTACCACCACTTCTACTAGTGCTACCGTTGCTGTTACTATTACCAGTAGAGCCGGCGAAGCCGGTGGGCGGAAGTTTCAAAAATATAAACACTATAGTTCTCTTTCTCTTTCTTTTCTTTCTTTCTTTCTTTCTTTTCTTTCTTTCTTTTCTTTTCTTTCTTTCTTTCTTTCTGTCTTTCTTTCAAGGCCTCCTACAGCCGTAAACCTGCAAGCCTCCTGCAAGCCTCCTAGTCTCCTAAACCTGCAATCCTCTTTCCGCTCCACACAAGAACCAAAGGGTCCCTTTGCTATGGCTTCCATTTCCTTTTCCCGTCAAGTGGTCACATCCCTCCCACCGGCTCACTCCTTTTTTTTCTGCGTGCTTCGCGCAGCACTCCGCACCCGCGGCCTGAACCAGCACGCGAGAATAGCTGATCTTAATCAGGTGTTAAAGCTCGGGGATGCCAGAGCTTCCTTGACTCTTTTGCACTTTGACAGCGGCGTCATACCCATGATGTCAGTGGCTAAGCGTTTATTCTCCACCAAGTCAGTGCCGGGAATCTCCAGCTGCCACAGCCGCCTTTTCGCGAAAGCCTGCGCATCCTCTTGTGAAGAGGGGAAGTGAAACAAGACCTGGCCCGGTGGCATGCAGCGTGAAAACGCGCACTATGTGCTGGATGGGCGAGAGCAGCTCTTCCTCAAAAAACGTCAGCGCGTCTGTCTCTGGCAGAGACACGCCGGGGTCGGCGTAGCTCGCTGCTGTGAAGCGGAATGGATACCGCGGCAGTCCATCCTTGGCACGTGCCTTTGCTTCTGCCAAGCAGTTGCGGCAGATGGCTTGGCCAGGCTCCAGCCACCCAGAGGGACCAATAGACCCTTATAAGGGTCGAAAGCGCTTGTTAGGGTTGAATTTTATTTTAACAAGCGTTTAATTTAAGGGTCGAATAAAAAAATAGACCCTTATTTGTTTTGGTAAAAAATTGTGTTCTGGAACTTGGACTCCTCCCTTCCTCCCTCCATGCAGTCCCAGTTAACCAACCAATCCATGCGACATTTGCTCCTGCCGTCCCCCCTCCAGTGTTGCTGATGTTTTGAAGCTGCCAGTCAGACACGCAAGCGCAGAAACGTGCAGGCAACGCGTGGCTGCCAAAGTCTTTTTCATCAAACACTGGAAGTCGCAGCAGAATTTCTGCAAACATCTACTGGACACAGACCACAAAGTTTGTTGGCCTCCTCTGGAGCGGCCAATCTTGCTGATGCTACCTCCAGCTTCCTCATCGCGGTAACACCAATTTAAAGACGGGCAGTCCCCAGCCAAAGCAATCTCAGCAAGCAAATGGAATTTCGGCTTGAGATGCCAAGTGTATTCTTCAGTTGCCAAAGATCCAAGGCATTGATATGTTTGCAAGAACTTGAAGACAACATTCTGAAAATGGACCTGGTCGAATCGGTCCTTGTGAAGGCAATCATAAGACAATTGCAAAAAATGCATGGCATCCTTGATGCCCAACTCGAAGGGAATGTCGCTGTCCAGCATGGACTGAGCAATGGATTCCCCAAAGGGGATCAATGCTCTTGTCTCAGCTGCCCTAGTTCTCAGCTTGGGCGAAGTGGTGCTTTTTTCCTCAGCATGCCAAAGGTCAAGTTGCCAATTGTGTCTTGGATGGCGCAGTCAGCGTAATATATCTTCATACGGAGCCACAACGCACTCAGTTGCTCCTGCCTGGTGCCACCAAATTTGGGCAGAACATACCATAGAAGATTGCCAAGCATATCGCAGCTGCAGCCTAAATCTGCAACATGCAGCCAATCCAATTTAAAAACTTCGGTGGTGAAGAATGGACATTTGTAAAGAGCAGTCCTTGGCCTGTCCAAGGATTCGAGTTTCTCCAGAAAATCCCAGTGGCTGTATCTTTCGGTCCTCCACACAGCATTGGAAGTGAAGTCAGTGAAGGTTTCCAAGGTGGCAGAGCATTTGCAGCAAATGCCAGCTTTTTGCTGCCAGCTGGGAAGGCCAAACACTTCAGCTTGACATTTTCAATCACATCGCACTTCAGCAAGAACACCAGGACAAGGCAAGGGTAAGCCTTGCCGTTGTTTCCTCCAATTGTCTTCTGGGACGCACCAAGGGCTGCCATCATGCCTGTGGTTGGGCATGAATTGAATGGCCATGCGCTGGAAGCTCCATGCAATGATGCTAAAAATATCTTGAAATGATTTCTCCTTGAGGACCAACTCATGAGGAATTGCACAGACCGGAATTCGGACTGTATGATGTGGAGGCTCTAGCCCTGGAAAACTGATCAAAATAATTTCCAAAGTCTTTGTTCTGTCCCAGTTGAATGGAGTAGCATCACTCCACAATCCGAAGCCACACGTTGGGCTGCCAAAAGCTCTTTGTGCTTTCCTGCAATGCGCCTGCACAGACTCCACAGCACCATCCAGTTGCGTCAAAGTCTCAGCTGAGTTCATGGTGCCAAGAACATGCAAAAGCTCATGTGGCAGCAGCAGTGCTACCTTGGCGTACTTCTCCACTTGTAATTTGGCGTCCCAAATTCGTATTTCAGCTGTATATATTTTGGGCCACTTTGTGCCCTTCAAGCATCTTCTCAGCATGTCCCTGGCAGCCTTTTTGCTGACATTGACAGATGGGCCTGCATGCTCTTTGAAGCCTTGCACATGACAGGCTCCAATCTGGTTCTCCAGAAGCTGGGTTTCTTGTCCACTCAGCTTGTTGTCCAAAAACAGTGTGTGAACATGCTGCCTCAACCGTTTGGTGGGGGACTCGAAAATATTGTCCCCACTCTTCTTGTTGTGGAACATGGCACTAGCAGGTGTCACATCCCAGAAAATCATCCATAGGAGCACTTTGTGCCACACAGATGCCATGGCTTACCAGCTTGCATCTAACAACTGAACATGATATCGAGCAAGGAGCTGCGCATGCAAATTCTTGTATCTCTACCTGTCTCTCTCTCTCCCTCACTCTCTCTCTCTCTCTCTCTCTCTCTCTCTCTCTCTCTCTCTCTCTCTCTCTCTCTCT